CGCCGCTGGCTGACGCTCAGCTCACCGTTTACCAGCCCCCAGCGCTCTTCCAGCCAGCTCCCAGCTCGCTCCCCCCTCACAAAGAGAATCCCTGCGGATCCCCACGCACTGACCGTCTCCCAGCTGGACCTGGGCAATGAACGCAACACTCCAGTCAAAGCAGCTCTCCCCGCAGCGAACACGGACCGGCTCCGTTCCCAGTCCTGCACTGGAGCCGCTGCTCACCCTATGGGTAAACTGATCCCCCACCCCACACCAGAAGGATCCCGTAAAACCAGGAGCAGAGGTGGGACGGACCCTCCGCCTCTCTCCAGCCCCACAGCCTGCTCGCAGCAGGGCTGCCACCAGCCAAGGGTGACTGGAGCTTTACCCAGCCCAGGCTGGGACACCCCCACCTCGCTGGGGACCCGCCCCAGGATCGCACCGTCCTCCTGGGGAAAGAGCTTGTCCCAGCGCCCAGCCTGGCCCCCCAGCGCAGCCGGTGGCATCGCTGCCCCTCGGGCCAGCAGCACGTGGCCTGTGCCCTGGGTACCGCCCTGCCAGCAGGTGTAGGCTGCCCTCAGCTCGTCCCCCCGTCCTGTTTGCCAAACCAAACTGGCCCAGTTCCCTCGACCTCTTGTCGGGCCGTGCTCCGTGCCCTGGCCACGCTGGGAGCCTCTGGTGGCTCCTCTCCAGCTTCTCTGCGCAGTAAATGATGAAAAGCACCATATCAGAGTGAAGGGGGGGGTCATTTCCAACAGAACAGACTCTCATCTCTCAGCGGTCAAGGAAGACCTGAGGAACATCACTCAAAGATGGGCTACACGTTTTCACCCCCAGGCTCTACTGGATACCAAAAATCAGAGACTCCCCAGAAGTACGGGTTTTATGGCATGTTGTAACCCCTCCCGCTTCCTTCACAAATCCCTCAAGCAACAAACCACCCAACTGTCTCTTTCTGGTTGGAGACAAACACCCACCATCTCGTTCCACCACCCTGCAAATCGTCTCTGCACCACACACACCACCGCTTCTCTTGGACAGGTCGATGTGCAGCCAAGGCCAGTAATTGTTCTCGGGGTACATTTCACCTTCAAGCCTGCTGACTCTGTTTTAGATCTAGATCTAAATTTTAGATCTGAATTATTTCTTTGCCTGGCAACTTATCTTGTCCCCAACCACGTTCGGTGCTTTATCGAGAGGCATCACTCACCAACGCAGCCCTTTCTGTGTGAACCAACGCTGCCGAGCCCCAGCCTCGTACAAACATCACAAGAGCATAACCTCTGCTTAGCTCTGAAGCACGATTACCTGCAGCTGCTGGGTTAACTCACACGGCTCCTGACACCGCCCAGAGAATGCAGGAGCCTCTTGGTCAGCCCCACGCTCCCGCCAGCGCGGCTGTTCGGGCACCAGGCTCGGTGCCGTTACGGTGTTTTACGCAGGGCCAAAACCCACGCCATAAGACTGGTGAAAAGTGTCCAGAGGCCAAAGTAAAAGGCTACGGGAAGCATTAAACACCCCCAAATTTGGCCAGATCGGAGCAAGAGATGAACGCACAGTGCTTCTGCACGAGCGGCCGCCCTTCACCGGGCCGGTGCCGTTACCTGGTGGCCGGTCTCCAAAGACACCTTGCATGGGCGTCCCTGGGCGTCCCTGCGCTCGGCGAGCTGGCTCTCGGGCAGGAAGCACTCCTCGGGAGTGCAGTACCAGCCCTCGTAAGCCCCTTTGTAGAGAGCCCCGCCATCCCGCAGGGCACCCCAGAAATGCAGCACGGCTCGCCGGTGGCGGGGCTCGCTGGTGCGGATGAAGTCGGTGAAGGAGACGGCGGCCTGGGTCAAGGCTTGGCGAAAGAGGCCCGAGACCCGCTCGCAGAGCTCCGGGGGGGACGTTCCCGCTGCGGCGGCGGCCTGCTGGATCTTCA